GTATATATATATATTTATATATATATATGTTCATGTATATATGTGATTGTATCACGAGAGATTGTAGTACTTACTGTCGTGAAATCACTAGCAAGTCTGAATTCACCCATACTCTCACAATACAATACAGCTAAGCAACAGACCAGATCTTTTCATCTACTACATCTGCAACGAGCCATTAATGCAGTATATCTCCATTCGTCCCTCTTTGGTCCCGTTTTTACAGGCGTGGCCCTTCCAGTCCGTAGACCCCACGTGTAACTCGTCGCCCCCAATCACGCTTATACATGTTTACCGGGACGGTGTGCTTGGCCACATTCCCGCGAACCTGCTGGTGGAACTAGACCTCATACAGCTGGCTGTGGGGCATATTGCACCAGCGAATATCCGCTGTGTGGAGATGGGCAGTCAGAATGTCAAGTGAGTGATTGTGTGCGTGAATGCGTGTTCATAGTTTTTGGGTTGATATATGTGGGCGTACCAAGGTTTCCAACGTGCCACTGTGGAGATGGGCAGTCAGAATGCCAAGTGTGTGTGTGTGTGTGTGAAGCGTGTGTGTGAATGCAAGTTTCATAGTCCTTCGCTCATCCGTTCACATTGTTGCGTTTATTTGCGTATACCTCTGTACACTTGACCCATGTATACGCGTGGAGCAAGTTCTATCTTTGTCGGTCAAAACCCCAGTTTATTCTACGCCAAATTTTACTTTAAATCTACCATTGTCAGAGTATACTTGTGGACTGTTGCTTATCCGTTCACGTGGGTGCGTTGGTTGCGTACACGTTTATACACTTGGCGTAGATATCAGCGAGGAGAGACCATCCTGCCCCTGCCGATGGCTGTGGACATTGCGGGCGATGAGGATGAAATTAAGTGCCCAAACCAAACGAGGCAACGGTACGTTCATCAGATGTATCTTGGAGTGGTGAAGCGAATTGGGTGTACTTCGTTCTAGACTATATTGTCTGACGGCTTGCTGTGCTTGTATGAATGTCGGGGCTGGTGTTCGTGGTATACCAACCTGTACGTGTCTGCAGACTTGACTTGGCGTGGACGTGATTTGGACCATAAGAGGGTCTCGTGTGCAAGTCTTTCCTAATCTGTAGAGGCATGGTGTTAGTAGGCATTCATGTTAGTTGTATATCTTTACGGCCCTGTTTGTAACATATCTGTCGTATTGTGCAGATCTACTCGCAAATGCGTAGTAGAAAAGACCTCTCTTGCATCGGATATTGCAAATGATTTAATTTCACACGCTTCTGTGCGACTCAGCTTAGAGCTGATGTGCAATGCAAATGCCTCTCATTGTAAAGGAATATCTACACTTTAAACGTTGACTAATCTGTGACACACTCACATAAACTTGTTGCAGATTAGTGTATCGGGGCGTCTACATTTTAATCTTTCACTAATCTGTGGCATAATACACCCCTGCACAGAGTTTCTGTGAAACGGCCTTTCAGTGTGTCGCGTGTATTTGCGCTTTTGTCTGTTATCAATCTGTGCCACACTGTGCTGCTCATCGCCGCTCAGATTGGTGGCGAAGAGGCCCTCGGTTTGTCGCGGGTCCTGTGTTTTAAAAGTCAACTAAATTGTAATATAACGCGCGTACCGTCACACATTTATTGAGGAGAAGGCCCCCATGGTGCCATGTGTATTGCGCTGTAGTATCTATCTCATCTGTAGTATAATGATCATCCTCGCACAGGTTTGTTGTAGAGGAAACACCCATTGTTTCGGATATCTTGCGGTTTCTCGAACGCCGGGCCAACCGTCCCATCCCCCATCTCGCCGTCAAGCTGCAGGTGCTGTCACGGTACATCCAAATCGCGCTCTTGGTGGTGTTCGTCTCGGTAGAACTGGTCAATGTGTGTCGCTACTACACCATCTCGGACCACTCGGGGGCGTGGAGTGAGATGTTCCTGGTGCTGCCTATCTACACGGTGCTGCCGATGCTCCCCATGAGCATACCCTTTCTGTGGTACATGATGAATGCCTTTGGCGTGGCCCATATCCTGGCGACCTACGACATGCTACTAGAAACCGACTATGCTCCCCAGTCGGGCCACAAACGGCACAGCGATTTTGGCATCAGCGCCCCACAGGTGTGTCTCAGTTTAAAGATAGTACTGTCGCAGTTCTATGAGATGACACGTTTTGCAGGTCTGCTAGCCGTATGCACGGATACCTACATGGAGTATTTTGCTCAGTCATTCTGGAAATCCTATCAGAAATTGAGTGATTGAACAACGCTCTAAAAATTGATATCCGTGAACACTGATATCAGGCCTGTAGATATCATTTTTTTATAGGAAAATAAGATTACCATTAACGGCGGATGGGTAGATGCTGGGGATAAATGCGACCCTTCTCTCAGTATTGCCGTTACCTACATGTATAATATTCTATTTTGGCTGCAGCTCAATTTTTCAAATCAAAAATAACCTCCCAATAGGATAACGAAATTCCCGTGGACGATGGGTGGGCAGACGAAGGAGAAGATAGCGATTCCTCACTGGAAGAGTCATTCGACCTGGAGAGTCGCAGCCCGACGGCGCAGAAGCACACGAGCACATTTCCCGCGACACAACGCACGGAAAAGGTCTACGTCCCCAGATTGTTCCAGGTATGATTCAATGTATACACACTGGATTTTGGTGTATATGTGATATAAGAACATAGGCGCACAAGCCTTTGTTCATTCGTTGCCGGATCATGTGGTATATCAACAAAACTCATCTCCCCTACGTTTGCCGCAGGTGATGCGACGTGTGTTTCAAGTGTGGTACGGGTCTGCCTACGCAACGCTGCCGCGCTCGTCTAGTCTATTTTTAGAAATGGGGTCGATCACGGTGGTATGCACAGTAGACAAGGAAGGGGTCTTGTCGTATCCCACCCCCTCAGTGGAGAAGATATTCCTGCCCGGATCTGAAGTTGTGGCCATGGATTTGCTCAATGTGCCTGAGGCCAAACGGGACGATATCACAGACGCCGATCTGGATGTCACCGATAATATGGTATGCACCGCATGGACTGTCCCATATCTGGTGGCTTACGCTTCATCGGGTTGCTTGTTGTACCTCAAGTTCTTGAGCGTGGCATAGTAGACTCTATTGGGGTGCTAGTGTTATAATCTCTTGTCGCTACTGACTTCGGGGTCGAAGCTCATTATTTGAGGCTCAGCAGTGTATGAAATTGGCCGTCGTGTCTTGCTGCTCTCGACATCTGAGCTTTTTGCCAAAGCTTAAATCAGCACTTGCTGTTACAGCCAGTACTGTTGTCTCTGCCAACGGCGACGAAGCACCCCTTTAAAGCTCACTGAAAAAAATAATATCTATCACTACTTCCTACTCATACCTTCTTGGCAGCTGTGATACCCGTGTCCGCTTTCGCATGTACCCTATATATGCGTTCTAAAAACAAATCTTGAATTTTAACGTTCTTGCGCTGCGTAAATCTATGTCGTGTATGTGGACTCGTATTGAGAATTATCCTGTTCCGCTGTTTCGCACATTCAGACACTTCCAAATGGTACATCAAAACGATCAAAGAGTATAGTCCTTGTTTTCGGCGCCACCGTTATGGTCCCAGTGTGAAGGATATATATTATACATCAAAAGTTTTCTGATCGGTCTGGAACCCAAGCCTCATGAGGTAGTCTCCGACTCAGTCTGCTAGGGTTCAGGCATATGGGACAAGTAATATACTTCCAATGCTTTGGGACCGGTCTGAAACTTAAAAATCAGGCTAGCTGAGTGGAGTGGAAGCATTTGCAGATATTTATTGACCCAAGTCACAAGCTCACAAATGTCTTCTTCATCCACTAACACTCCAACCCACCAAAACTTTAAAACCAATACCTTAAACCCATATACTTTACTACACTAAACCCTAAACCTTACACTCACAGGAGTACAGTGCCAGCGAGGGACGGTACACCCCTTCGCCGGACTCGCGACTTCCAGAGCTCGCCAGACACCCAGGATTATCCCCAGACGAATCCAAAACCTTAGGCAGCAACGACATACTCGTGAACGCAGACACAGAGACAAACGAGCACCTGAAATTGAGCCAGAGTATCAGCGTACCGGCGAATATGGCCCTTGCCAAGGACCCAGCGGACAGACCTGCCCTGGGCAGACTCCCTGGGTCCAGTTTTAGTGCCGAACATTTGCGACGATTTGGCAGTACTAGCGAGCAGGGGAAGAGCGTGCCCAAGAAGCACAATGACAGTCGCGTGGGGAACGGTCCGATGGCGCGCGTTGATATGCGCGTGGGCGTGGATTCGGATATGAACGAGAGCTGTGAGGATGAGTGTGCGGACGAGGTAGTTACGCCCAATGTGGGTATGGACGGCCGGTGGAGTCCAATGACCCGGGGTGTGGGTGGAGAGCAGGAAACAGATACGGATATGGATGTGGATGGGGATGTGGATGTGGATCGGGATGGGGATAGAGGTAGAGATTTGGATGTAACCGAGAGACGGATAGGTGGAGTGACTAGGAGTGCGGGTAAGGTAAAGATGAAGGAAAGTTCAGGGGATAGGAGCACTTCCGTGGAAGGGACCGGTGGAGCCACCAGGCTTTGGGGCATTTGGAAGGGGAGTGGGTTTGTACCCGAAGCCACAGACGCGGACGGCGAAGCAGAGGAGACGGAAACGGACGATGCGGTAGGCAAGAAGACGAAACGCGGGGCCAAGAAGAGCAAGAAGAAGTGGTCGAGACGGCAGGGTGACTCTAGTCGGGATGTCACCGACAGAGACTCGGTAGGGCAGGAGAGGTCTAAATTCGGGTTGTGGTCTTTATTTGTATTGCAGGTGTACATTGGAACATATAGGACGTGTCACTCGATACGAGCATATACGATCTAGAGAATGTGCGCGAATTGGTATCTGGGCTTCAAAGTCCGTCGATCCGAATTGATTTTAAATCAGATGCTCATGTATCGATATATATATATATATATATATATATATATATATATATACACACACACACACTATATATATATATATATATATATTACTTACTACACACACACACACACACACACACACACACACAC